TAGCCAAGTTGACATATAACATTTACTACTACAGGGTACATGATAAATCTGGGGTCTTGTGTGTGTGTGTGTATGTGTGTATGCACAGCCACAAAATTAGGAAGCCATTAAAGCCTAATACAGTCATCAAGAGGACACAGGAGCCAAACTATAGGCCAAGGATGTTGATGTTGTTTTTATGTGCTGTCAAGTCAGCCCTGACTCATAGCGACCTCTCCTTGGGTTTCTGAGGCAGTATCACTACAGAAGTAGGATTTCCCAACCTTCCTTCCAAGGAGTGTTGGTGGGTTTGAACCGCCAGCCTTTTAGTTAGCAGTCAAGTGCCTTAGGCACTATGTTATATTTTAATTTAAAAACTAAAATAATGACTGAAATTAAGACCCATTGAATATACAAAAAGATGTGTTTGAATAACAATGTGCCATAAATCATTTAAGAAGCAATCAATAAAACTGAAAGAAAAACTCACTGGACATCAATGGAGATGGCTCTGAAAATTGATAATTAAAGGGAAAGAAGTAAATATTTATCTTGCCTTCTAGTATAAACTGTATTTCAGGGTAATCGAAGAAACTATAATGGATAAGAGACCAGCTAATAAAGAAGGAATAATAATATTGTAAGATTATAATTTTGAAGCTTCGAATGAAATACTGCTTCAGATGATGGTTATCAGTGGATGGTAAAAACCTTTAAGTGAAAGAAGGATGGAGAATGTTACAATGAAGGGATAAGACTGTCATCACCTGAACCCACTGATCAATCTTATCATCAAAAAAGCAGGAAAACTAGACGTTATATTTCTCCTGATGAAATGCAGCATGAAGTGCAAAACTCTACTCATGAAGTATGTTTTAAGACTCATGTCTTTTCTCAGCATAAAATGCAGGATAGAGGGACAATTTAAGCAATACAACAAAGAAGAAAATCAGATAAATCCAGAATGTGGATATTCCACAGGCAAACTCTATATATTTATTCAACATATCAATGTTGTTGTTATGTGCCATTGAGTCAGGCCCGACTAATAGTGACCCCTCCTTGGGTTTCCGAAGCAGAATCACTATGGACGTAGATTGCCCCATCTTCCTTCTGAGGAGTGGCTGGTGGGTTTGAACCGCCAGCCTTCTGGTTAGCAGTCAAGTGCCTTAGGCACTACGCTACCAGAGCTCCTACCTCTTGGATAGAACCTCCTAAATCTAGTCCATCTTAGTGTGGAAGCTCTGATGAAACCTATTCCTTGATTGTAAGCAACTGAATCTGATAATAGATAATTATGCAAGGGATGTGGGAATCTTGTAGACTAAATGGAGGGAGCAGTTCAGTGATAAAAAATCGTGGACTCTGGATTCAGACTGCCTGCATTAAAATTCCAGTTCCACCATTTCCTTGCTATGAATCACTGGACAGGCATACAATATAAATATCATTTGTCTCACTTCCTCATCTGCAAAAGGACATTAACAATAAAATTTATCTCATATACTTGCTGATACGATTAAGTAGGATAATAAAGACAAACTGAATGAGTGTTTTTTTTTTTTTTTTAATTTCTGCCAGACAAATTGCCACAAATTTAGTGGTTTGAAACAACACAAATTTATTATCTCATAGTTCTTTCGTTCAGAAGTCTGCGTAGGCTCAACTGGTTTCTCCACTCTAGGTCTCACAAAGTTGAAATCCAGGTTCTGGGGGAGAGCTCATTCAGGTAGTTGGGAGAAGTCAGTTCCATGTGGTTATAGAACTGGGATCCCTGTTTCCTTGCTGGCTGTTGGCTAAGGGTCATTATAATCATCTAAAGACCACCCACAATCCTTGGCTTATGGGCCCCTCTATAGTCAGAGTCAGAAATTGTGAGATGAATCCTTCTCATGCTTAGAATATCTCTAACTTGCCCTTCTGCTTTATCTTTCCTGCCTACAGCTAGAGAAGTTTCTATGCTTTTGAAGATTTATATGATTAGATTGAGCCTACCTAGGATAATCTAGGATAATGTCTCTATTTTAAGGTGTGCAATTTTGATTACATCTACCTAGTCCCTTTTTCACATAACATAAGATTCTCACAGTTTCCATAGATTAGGATGAGGACATCTTTGTGGAGCTATTCTATCACAGTCTGCCCTCTCTACCCCCACAAATTCATGTCTTCCCACATGCAAAATACATTAACACCATTCCAAGGTCCCAAAGATCACATTACAGCATCAACTCAAAAATTAAAATCTTTTCTAAACTGTATCTGCTCAAAAGTCCAAAATCTTACCATCCAAATTAGTTATGGTGGGACTCTGGATATAAATCCATCCTGGGGTATGTTTTTCGTTCCTCTGTGAACCTATTAAACTAAAGAAACAAGTTTTCTGCTCCCAACGTAAAACTGTTAAACACCCCAATGGTAATAGGTCTACATGTTCTACAACAGAAAAAAATGAAGACAAAAAGGAGTCACCAGTCCAAAGCAATTTCAAAATCCATTAGCTTTTGAAGCCTGGGAAAAATCTTCAGTGGTTCTCAGATCCAATCTGTGGGCTGTTCTGCCATCTGAGTTATTGTCACTTATTCATGAAATGTAGCATGAGTTTGCAGCTAAAGTTTTATCACCTGCTTCTTGAATTATGGCCTTCTTTTGTTTCATACATTCTCTGTCTCTTTCAGTTTCAATCAATGTTTCCAATGAAAGGCTCAAGAACTTTGTAAGTATCCCATCCATGTAACAGGGACTCACTCACTCCATTATACAGAAGCAAGGTCCTCCAGTTTTTTTAGATAATACCTTCTTTATATTTGAGTTCTGCTGAGTTGGCTGCAAGGCAAAGTCCTTAAGTTTCCTCATGGCCTCTGGTTAGATTGAGGGGATCTAAGAGTCACAGCCTTAGTTCCCTGTGACTAAATATTCTGAATTTTTGATCTTTCCAAGATTACAGTAAGGTGTTACAGAATCATAAACTTATTTTTTTTTTTTATCCAGAGTGCACCTTTCTTGACTGAATTTCTCAGTCTTAATGTCTTTGTCCATGGTGATAAACTGAGAATTTCACATATCATCAAGTCCTGGTTCCTTTTTGTATAACAGTTCTTACCTCATTTTCTTCCCTTCCTTTGCATTTCACTATACACTGCAAGCAGAAATCAGGTTGCACCTTCAACCCTTTGCTTGGAAGTCTTCTCATCAATACCCCCAAATTCATCGTTTACAAGTTCTGCTTTCCACATAATTGCAGGACATAATTCAACTAAGCTTCCTACCAATATGTAACAAGAATTTCCTTTCTTCCAATTTCCAGTGTTCCCGACTTCCTTCTGAATCTTCACTGCCAATTTCTTGAATGTATATATTTCTAACAAACTGTTCATAGCAATCTAAGCTTTTTCTATCATGTTTCACAAAGTTTTTTACCTGCCACCTGATTCCATGTACATTTTTAGGTTTTGTTATAGCAGCAGCCCATTCTTGACACCAAAATTTGTATTAGTTTTCTATTGCTGCCATAACAATTACCACAAATTTAGCAGTAATCTCAGATTCTAAGATTCTCATGATTAGAATCTGTTTGATCCCTCTTTCTGTCTTATCTTTCCTGACTTCAGTGGGGGAAGATTCTCTGTTTTCAAGGATTCATGTGATTAGATTTGGCCTACAAGGGTAATTCATAGTAATTTCTCTGTCTTAGGTTCATGACCTTATTTGTGTCTGCACATACTCATAGGTTCCAGGGATTAGGAGGATATCTTTGGGAGGCCATTCAGCCTGCTATAGATACTTGGCACAATTCTTGGCATGAGTTAAGAAACTAAACAAATTTGCTATTATTACTATTTTTTATTAAACATATGACCTATTGTTGTTGTTAGGTGCTATTGAGTTGATGTTCAACTCATAGCGACTCCATGTGCCAGAGTAGAACTGCCTCATAGGACTTTCTAGGTTGAGCTCTGGTAGCATAGTGTCTAAGGCACTTGATTGCTAACCAGAAGGCTGGTGGTTCAAACCCACCAGCCACTCCTTGGAAGGAAGGTTGGGCAATCTACTTCCACCGTGATAATGCCTCAGAAACTCAAGGAGGGGTCGCTCTGAGTAGGGTCTGACTTGACAGCACATAACAACAACAACAATCTTTATGGAAACAGATCACCAGGGAAGCACAAATTTTGTTTGATTGCTTAGGCTCAATATTCATATCTCTTAGAGAAGGATTCTAACATACTTAGCTTGAATCATGGTTTCATTTCTTGTCTCAGCCAACAGAAAAGGATAGAATATTGTTACACTATCCTGGGTTGTCTGCTAATCCTCTTTGATGACCATATGAATGTGAGAGAATTGCTTTTACTAAAAATGTAGGGTGTAATTATTAGCAGAAAAGCGAATGGATAATGGGCAGTCAATCAATAGCAATAAATGTTAACATAGATATGAATAATAAATCAAAAGTTTTTATAAAATGATCCCCCAGAGAAGATAGTTCTGAACAAGTTGACTTTGAATCATCCTAAGAAAAGCATTTTCTGTCCTTTTCAGAAGCATTTCCAAGGAAGTAAATACCAACATGTGTGTACCCTGTGGCATCTAGCATCATGGGTGACCAAGAAATTCTCTTTAAAGCCAGTTACCTGATATCTTCTACAGGCACAACTCTGAGATATTGCGGGTTCAGTTTCAGACCACTGCAGTAAAGTGAGTCATATGAATTTTTTGTTTCCCAGTGTATACAAAAGTTATGTTTACACTATACCATAGTCTATTAAAGTGTGAAAAACCATCAGAAAAAGTTTTAAAAATTAAAATTGTGAGAATTACCAAAGTGTAATACAGAGAGATGAAGTGAGCACATGCTGTTAAAAAAATGGTGTCGATAGATAGACTTGCTTGATGGAGGGTTGCCACAAGTTTTCAATCTGTAAAAAATGCAATTATCTGCAAAGTGCAATAAAGTGAAGCACATGAGGTACACCTGTATCATATCATTTCAGTTTCCCTTTCATCATGATTTGTGTCCGCTATATGAGAGTATGAAAATATTTTCTGAACATTCTTCTCATAGCTTCCTTTACCTCCTTGTTCTGAAGGCTGTAGATGAGGGGATTCAGCATGGGAGTGATCACACTGTACTGTAAGGAAAAGATTATCTCCAGAGGGGAACCTGAGGTTGGCAAGAGATAGCTGATGAAACCTGAGCCATAGAAAAAGATCACAGTAGTGAGATGTGAGGAACAGGTAGAGAAGGCCTTGCTTCTGCTGGAGGTGGAGGTGATGCTCATGACGGTGGAGACAATGCGTGCATAGGAGAAAACAATCATAATGAAAGTCCCAAAGAAATGCAAGACAGAGGAACAGAGCAGCAGCATAAAGTTGATAGAAGTATCAGAGCAAGAAAGAGGGAAGAGAGAAGACAGCTCACAGCTGAAGTGGGGGATAGTCTGGCCCTGGCAAAAGTCTAAATTGACAGCTAGGAGAATATTGATGAAAGCATCAGCAAAGGCCAGGCCCCAGGAACTCCATACCAACCCGACACACAGCTGGTTACTCATCACCTGGGCATACAGCAGAGGGGAGCTGATGGCCACATAGCGGTCATAGGCCATCACTGCCAGCAGACAGGCCTCGGTGCCCCCCGTGGCAAACACAAAGAAGGCCTGAGCCAGGCAGCTCTCTACAAAGATGGTTTTGCTTTCAGAAAGTAAATTCTCCAGCATCTTGGGCGTTGTGACAGAGGAGTGGCAGAGGTCCAGGAAGGACAGTTGTTTCAAAAAGAAGTACATGGGTGTGTGGAGGTGGGAATCAGCCCTGATCACCAGCAGCATTAAGAAGTTTCCCGTTAGAGTGAGGAAGTAAATGAGAAGGAACAGCACAAACAGAATGGCCTGAATGTAACGATCAGTAGACAATCCGAGGAGAATGAACTCACTGATTGCACTGTAGTTTTTCATTGCTGTATAGAGAAGTGTTCTCTCTGGAATACAAGAAATACCAAAACTGCTTTAATGCCTCTCAGTTACCTCAACACCTACATCTTATTCTCCATAAATATCTTTTTAAATATACACATTCGGATATTTAAAAGTTGACTTCCTGGTCATCATATTACTATAGACGTCTAAGTCAACTATATTACCACATTTTACTATAATTTTCAAAAACTAGAGTATGTTTATGGTTATAAGAGTTATTCAATTAAAAAGAGAATAAGAGAGATCAAGAGAGAGTGAACAGAATATTTCAGGAGTAAATTCCTTAAGAAATGGAACATTATATCTAGAACAAAAGGCCTTGGCTTGGAACAGAGACAATTTGCCTATTCTATGTAGGAGTGTGGTAGTTATGTTTGTGTGTCAATTTGGCTATGCCTGGTTGAGTGGCTGGGCAGCTGGTGGTAGTTATTCCCCATGATGAGACTGGCAATCAACTCCATGGTGGAATCTAGCACAAGTAGCTGCCTTAGGGACTGTGGTCTGCTTCCTGCATATAAGGAGAAGTCTTGGGAATGGTCTCTAGCCTATGGCACTCTTGGACCCTGCATGTAGCTGTGTTGTTGCTCAGCAGCCTGCTATACTCTGCCAACCTTGGGACTTACAATGAACCTAAGTTAATGGCCTGCCGTGTGGTTTGGTAACATCAGGTCTGTGCCTTTTTACTTGTCAACCTTGGGGCTTCTCAGCCTCAGCAGCCAGCTTCTGTCTGAGTGAAGAAACACCTCTAGTTTCAGTGGGCCAGGAGCAGGAGGCAGAGCTGGACCCCAAGGTTGAGGGGCTTTCACTCAGCCCCTCGAGCCTGGCAATTTGAACTTGGACTTAAAGCCTCCAGACTGTAAGAGAATAAACTCCTGTTTGTTAAGACCATTCCATTTGTGGTATATATTCTTGTCAGAGCAGCACTAGGTAATCAGAACAAGGAGGAAAGGTCAAGAATATTGGACCAGGTTCAAGAAGTTAAGGGACTTCCCATTTGATTGTTTTCATTCATAAATGTGATCATTGGTTCTGCATTTCTGTATGTGCCTTCTGCAAGAGAAATTATAAATCTATCGATAACATTACAATTAACTGTACAATCATGGGAATAGGGCCCAAGGTGAAGTGAAGAAATCTTAGGACAGAGGACAACTCAAGGTTCATATACTGAGATGTGGAATTAGATTCTTTTGGATTTATCTTGTAAATTTCCCTCATTCCATTTGTTCTTGTTGTTGTTGTTTGCCGTCGAGTTGGCCCCGACTCATAGCGACCCCTCCTTGGCTTTCTGAGGCAGTATCACTACGGAAGTGGGATTGCCCAACCTTCCTTCCGCGGAGTGGCTGGTGGGTTTGAACCGCCAGCCTTCTGGTTAGCAGTCAAGTGCCTTAGGCACTATGCTAGTGGCATCATATTGCTATTTAATTATAAAACACAGACATAAAATATTAATTAATTTTTAAAAACTGGCAGCGTAGATCATGCTGCCCAATGATATTTTAGGTGGCCTTCTATGGACAATGGTATGCCTTCAATGAGTCAGGAGACGCTATTAACTGTACAATGTCCTTGTTAGCTACACCATACCCTTGCTAAAACCTACATATCCAATATACACAGTCACCTCTCCTGTCTAAGCCCTCATACCAGGTTAAACGGCTCCACATGCTTACCTGAATCACCATCTCACATTTTAAAACTTGTGCATATTTTCCCACACTGGCCTGATAGTCTAGATTTTACCTGAATCTCAGAATAACTCCTCAATACCCTTGCTATAATCTGGAGACTGATTTCTAATTCAACATTAGCCCATTTAGTTCATCCATGGAGACTGAGGAGCCAATTGTCTGTTAACTGAACAGGTGAGTCTCCCAGCCCTGGTGAAGGACAAAATCCAATTACTGCATTCTCAGTTGGTGGAACACTGTTGGATGTGGCAACAATACTTCCAGATCTAGTAACTGACAAAACTTCACAGTTCTGTCAATAAATACTAGTTTAGGAGAGAAGTTAAAAAATCAAGTTGAAAATTAACATTTGTAATGGATCAACACTAGCGATATAAATAGTAAACTGTGGAAAATATCTGAGTATTTATTTCCAGTTATTTGGGGAGAAGAGAGAATAGATTGTTGCTTAAATTCTTCTTCTTTCACACTTCAGTTTAGATTTAGTGGCATTGTGCATGGCGGGCCCCAGTGCTCATTCTCAGAGCATCTCATCACCCCCAGAGCAAAATACCTTGGAAGTAAAGAAAATCATTACTTTTTCAGGCCAGGCAGAGGGTTCACAGTAGCCAGGCCTGTGTTGTATGATTTCAGGGTGAGCACACAAACAAAAAATCCCCTTCCTCTTGGCCACCTCCAAACATAGCCCAGTTTATTAACTTCTGAGTTTCTATGAGCTGGGGAGAAAATTCCAACCTTGGAAAAAGGCAAAACCTTGCATAGAAACTATCAATACAATAAAAGTCAATGTGAGGAGCTTGATTCCACAGGTCATTTAGAGATTTTCACAACAATCTTTTAGGCAAAACTAAAACTTCTATTTTTACTGTGGGTGATGCTTAAATGTCACCATTATTGATTTATTATTTCATTCTGTGTTTCAAAATTTAAAATAAACAGCCCTAGGAACATGACATGTTTGTTTTGAGATATTAACATCATTATATGGAGGAAATTGTCTTCTGCCCAAAGGAAAATCTCCCTAAAAACTGTTCATTTCAGAATGAGACAAAGGGTACCAAGCATAATATATACTTCATGAATGTGATAGTGTTGTTGTTGTTGTTATGTGCCGTCGAGTGGGACCTGACTCATAGTGACCCCTCCTTGGGTTTCTGAGGCAGTGTCACTACAGAAGTAGATTGCCCCATCTTCCTTCTGAATGTGATAGTAGAAAACAAAAATGATTACATAAACGAATGTGTGTGTGTTAGAGAGAGAGAGAAAAAGGGAGATGGAGAGAGAGAGAGAGAGAGAGAGAGAGAGAGAGATTGCTCTTGAAAGATAAGCCTGTCTATGTGTCCAAAATGAAGACTTCTGGACAGTCTATATTAGTCTGAAGTTCCTGAAATCATGAGGGGGATCCTTGGCATGAAGGAAAAATATTAAAGTGAGAGGCACCAAAGATAAACATCACCCATTTTCTAACTGTGTCCTGATTATACTCTGACTTCTTCCTCTTTACCCAGTTATATAACCCATAAAGGAGCTCTGGTGGTATAGTGCCTAAGGCACTTGACTGCTAACCAGAAGGCTGATGATTCAAACCCATCAGCCACTCCTTGGAAAGAAGACTGGGCAATCAAGTTCCATAGTGATACTGCCTCGGGAACTCAAGGAGGGGTCTCTATGAGTTGGATCTGACTCAACAGCAGTGAGTTGAGTATAACCCATATAATCTGGGGTAGGCTAAGGGAGTTCTGGGGAATTTTTTAATACAAGATTTTTCTAAACAAGCCTGGAAATCAATACTACATAAATCTTTCTAGGTCTATATAAATCACAGTGATTTCATCTTGCAGTCAATTGACAAGATTTTGAATAGTATTTCTCCACATGAGTAAGGACAGGCACTAAACACCGCACAACTGACATCGCTTGCACAGTCCCCAGCTTCAGCTCTCCAGGAAGTACACTAAACAAGGCACAGTACCACACATACACAGCACCCTACAGCAGGCACAGTGCCCTAGAAGCAAGGACGATGTGATGAGGCATCCTACAGTACAAAAAGAATATATATGCTACAAGAGCTCTTTAGAGCTGGAACACTATCTCAGAGGACAAGGAAGCACTACTTATGTTTCCAAAGGCTTCATTTCTTACCCATTTAAAGGAGGGCTTTGAACCAGTTCCAACTGGTTTATTCTGGTTCTACCCCCTGCTTTGAATTTGAATTTTAATATACATAAAAATCACATGGAAATCTGGTAAAATGTAGATTTTGATTCAGTAAGTCTAGGGTGGGGATGCAAATTCCCAGCAGGGGGTTGAAACAGAATGAACTGGTTCAAAACCCTGGTTTAAACACTGTAAACCTAAAAGTTTCAAACTGTAGGCACTCTTGTCAGACTTAAGCATGATGGAGCTAAAACACATTCCCAGGGGAAAAAAAAAGGTCAGGATGTAAACCATTTGGAAAGAATGGATCAAAATATAAACAATTTGTTGGGGGTGGAAATGTGTGTTCATGACTGCTATCATGAAGAAGCCGACCAGCTGATGCCTCTCACCTAAATGATAAATTACTCTTTCCCTGACAAGTAGCTGACCTTTCCATTTCAAGAGATTTCAAGCTGAAGCTGATCTTATCTACAAACAATCCTTAACCCACTACCTTTCCCTTGTTTGCAGGCTCTGGTGGTGGCCTAGTACCTAAAGCATTTGACTGCTAACCAGAAGGCTACCGGTTCAAACTCACCAGTTACTCCTTAGAAGGAAGATTAGGCAATCCACTTTCGTAGAGATACCGCCTTGGAAACCCAAAGCGGGACCTGAGTCAGGATTACCTTGACAGCAGTGAGTTTGTTTTTTTTTAGTTTAGATACTAACCCAAGGATCCTGGCTTTGAATCCACCACTGCTCTGCAGTAAATAGATGAGGAAGAAGGAAGCACCTAGGGGCAGTTTTACTCTGTCCTACAGGGTCACTAGGAGCTCTAGTAGCATAGTGCCTAAGGCATTTGACTGCTCACCAGAAGGCTGGCGGTTCAAACCCACCAGCCACTCCTCAGAAGGAAGGTTGGGCAATCCTACTTCCGTAGTGATACTTGCCTTGGAAACCCAAGGAGGGGTCGCTATGAGTCGGGGCGACTCGACGGCAAACAACAACAACAAACAACAGGGTCACTATGAGTCAACTTGATGGCAGTAGGTTTGCTTTGGCTCAGCTTGAACAGTAGAGTGCTTTGTATTTTTACTTAGCACTGTCCAGTTTGAGCTGAATTATTCCTCAACAAAACTTTTCGTT